TTTCATGAAAAAAGTGGAGGAGGGGAAGGGTGTGGCAGATGTTAGAGTGCTTATGGGACAACTGTACATTTGAGCATTGCTTGAGCAGGGATTTTGATATATGAGTGGATGAATTTTCGCAGTGGCTGCTTTCGATGAGAACTATACCCTTCGCAAATGGCTGTTAATGTTCAGTCCAGTTTCCCGTATGATTCAGTGGCTGCATTTTCAAGCAAGTACAGGGTGTTTAGTTGGACGCTATCAAATGCTTTTTTACAACCAACAGCATCAAATATTGCTGCATTTTGCAGACAGTTTGGAATGCAGCGCCGAGCGACTTTGGGCCAGCTTACTGGTGCAGAGTGCTTCGAGCAAAGATGGCAAAAGAGCCGTGCACGTTTATCTGTTAACTTCCTGGCTAAATTCGTTGCGGAAACGCTTCCCAAGCATATTCGATTGCGCTGCATCAGTGAAAGAAGTGAATTCGTTGCTCGATGTTCTCGACGAAGCTCGTTTCGTTGCTGACTGTCGCACAGACCCTGTAATTTTCCTGGATGCCCTTGATACAGCCTTTTTGGGGCTGTCGTTCGACCGAGTAATTTCGTTACTGAAAGCGGTATCAGGTCTCGTTTTTCTTCTCGTAATTCACGTTTATTCGCATTTTCTTAGAAAATGCATCTAATGAGATATACTGCGCTAATGCTTACATCACTCACAGTGTTTGTACTAATTTTTGAGCGCTGGATTTAGTCGTACGGGGTTGGACTGTCTGCTGAGTGTCCTGGTGGACAATTCAGCTAGTTTGAGCTAGCAAACCGCTAATATCCATTGCTCGCAACGGCATTGGGCGTGAGCTTCACAGTGCATGGTTTCATAGCTCTCGCTGCTGAATTGTTTATCAAAGTTATCGTGGTGCTTTCAGATCATGCAGCTGTAGTTGCTCGAGTACATGAAGAATGCTTATCTGTGCGCGACTGGGAAAGACTGAGCTCAATTGCTGCAGTAACGTGCTCTCTCAAAGTGAGCGAAGACGCGGCATCTGTTTGTGCAGCGACAGTCACGTACAGGAAGGGAAGGAGAATTGTGACGGTGAGATTGCCTTCTTAGGATTACTGCACCTCTGAGCCTCAAAATCGGTTGCATTCAAAACTTCTGCAGATGGAAACAGTGCGTGTCGACGATTCGTTGCGCCTGTTCTGCAACTTGTACAAAAGAAAGGAAGTCAGCAAATTAACCAGCATCAGTGCAGTACCGGCGATTCCCGACAGCACATTTGATATTGGACTCAATTTGAGACATTCCGAGTATGAGGCCAAGCAAAAAATATCGTTACCTTTCGAAGCTGCTCAGAATCAGGACGGTATGCATTTGTTCTTGTACTTTTTGCATCACTGATGCGGTGCAATGCAAATAATATATGCACTCAATAATATATGCATTTTTTATCTGTGCCTTCGAATATTCTCTGGGTAGATGATTGGCAATACATATAAAATACATTATATATATGCATATCTATATGTAATTCAAATTTTATGTTCACTTTTCTTCGTGTGATCAGTGCTGTTGCTATTAGCATTTTGATTCTAGTCTTACTGCATCAGTACAACTGCCGCCTGGTTGGTTTTTTTTTCTTTTATTGTT